GGGGCTTCGAAGCATTCCGACGGGCCGCGAGATTTGGCTGCTCTCTTCTGGGGTCACGGAGCTCGGGTCGGCTATGTCCCGTCCTCGCAATCGACTCCGCCAGGATTGGATCAACGGCCAACGACGGTCCACAACCCGCAACACATGGTGACTATGCAGAGTGATGACTATTTTTCTTGACAGTATATATCTTTACTTTTGAATGCAAGATTTATTTCACTTTATCCGACAGTTGGTCATATTGCTGTTCTATTTCGTTTTTTTCTTTTCTTTTTACTGAAAAGTACGTTTGAATTTCGCCGCTGGCTCTGTTACCATGATTCTCTCTCACTTTCCCGAACGAACCTGACGGCAAAATATTGGGAAAATATTAAACTCTTGGAAGTAAACACACGAATCGGTTGTTCATTTATCGGGCTTTGATACAGTTCTGAAAAGACTTAACTGCTTCCTTTTATTGAGAATGTACAGCTTATCCTCAATATCACGAATGTTGGGTGGACTCAAAAATATTTAGTGGAAAGTAACCGCCTTGTGCTTCTGAAAATTAATTATTTTAATGCATACACTCGACCGAAAATACGCCAAGGCTTCGATTTAACTGCCCAGCAGAATCTTCTGATTATAATGTAATTAATTGCAAAGTGGAAGCGAGCTGGACAAGAATGACGAAAATAATCCCTGGAGAAGGGGAACAAAGGACAAAGAACAAAGGATAAAGGACAAACATAGATCTCCAAACAGTCACCTAGCTGTGTTTGGAGATTTATGATTTTTTCTTCGTTCCCCTAGTTCCCCTTCTCCAGCAATTATTTTCGTTATTCTTGTCCAGCTCGTTTGCACCTTTGCATTTAATCGCATTATAATCATAAACTTAATACTGCAAGTTTCACCCTTGTTCATGTTAGACTGGTGGCAGCTGATAAATCCCGTTTGCTCTACTGACGTCTAACTCCCGGTTAGCTAAGGTGGTACAGCGCTCCACTGAAAATGGAGAGGTCCCGGGTTCGGTACCCGGACCAGGCGGATACTTTCGGTCCTGCACCAGTCACCTAGTTTTGTTTGGAGATTTATGTTTCTCCTTTGTCTCTCTTGTTACCCTTCTCTATGGGTTATTTTCGCCACAATCTTCTGGAGCATTAATTATGACTATTCAAATAATTCTTAGAAAATATTACATTAAAATACTTAACCTTAGTATTACTGCAACGATTATAAATTAACTCAATTGGAAAAAATAACAAGATTGCGTTTTCTCATTTTCCTCTGATTTCGGTAGCTAGTTTCAAGTGCCTTAAATCATGCAGAACCTAAAACAGACTTGCACGCATGATCAGGGAGAATCAGTAGCATGCGAGAAAATGCTTAGCCATGACGACCTAGCGGCGAACATTGAACAACTGTGAGGTTCAGCCCCTGTAACGCGACTAGCTATAATATTCGCCAACAGACTCTGTTTATCGAAGTTGATGAGTACCAAATTAGTTCATTGACAATATCTAGAATATCTCGTTCTAGGGGCTTCTTTTCCCAATCGGGGGTGTTTTTTTGGTCTAGTGAGCTCTATCATCCTCCCGCCGTCGGTCGTTGTGATCAGCCCATCAAACCATCCTTCCCATCAAACCCCTCAACTTGTCAAGCCCCTTCAGCCTTTCAAACCCCTTCAGCCCTTTAAACCCTCTAAAGACCCTTCATCCTTTCAGAACACCACAGCCTTTTAACCATTTAGCAGTGCTGTGCGAGTTCCCAAAAAGGGAACAAAAGCTCGTTCCTCGTTTCTTGTGTTTTATTAAACGCGCTCCCGTAACAAGTTGCATACGTGAAAAAGAAACTTTTTCCCGTTACAGTCAAAAATGAAACGTCTCGTTGCATAGACGTTACTTTTGTATTTTGATGATTACCATATTTACTTAGGTCAAGCAAAGTTTTCTTTGTTTTATGTTTCTCATGAAATGGCAACATAGTAACTTGAATTGAATGTAAACGTTTGGCAGCCCTCTGCCTGGTTAGGAGTAGACATGAAGTGAAAAATAGGGACTCTAACCAAAATTTTTGATAAACATTTACCCGACGTTTCGGGACCCGGTATCCTTCCATCATGGAAGGATACCGGGAGAAGAAAACAAGCGGAAGAAGGTTTTCATTTATTTATATATTCACATTTAAAAATCTGAGCTTTTACCCATATTCAAGTTTGTGGTAAGCGATTCAGACGAGCCACATGCACTGTTACGCCACATTGCACAAGCGTCTAGTGACAGCCTTACATGTTTTAATCTAGCAAAGCCCCTTGTTTAAACTTAAGAAGAGCTGCTTCTCGACGTTACTGTGCGTAAGACGAGCGAGGGAAGAAGAGGGTAGGGCTTTTATAAGGTCAGCCGCAAAAACAGCAAGTCCTTCTTTATGAAGGTTTGATTCGTTGTTCAGTTTGAAGGTGGGGAGAAGGGGAGAAGGAATAAAGCTTAAATTTTGGTTACATTATAATTGACAAATGTTCGGGAAACAAGGGTGCGTTCATTGTCTGGCAACCTCTTCTGATGTAACTGTAGGTCTCTTTGACGAAGTTCAGCGATGACGGTGTTAGGCCTTAGATTTCTGGGTTTAAGTGGATGGGTGGATGCAAAGAAAGTAGCTTACTTTGAAAGGTCCCTTATTTTGTCTTTTCCTTCGACTAAACCAACCTTTTGGTTTTCTACCGTAGCCTAGGGCACTGAAAAAAAAAATCAATGTTCGCCAGCTCTCTTGTCCCAGACTGTGACCAAGCGAAGCCCACACAGAATAAACCCCATGATAAGTAACCAAAAGTTACCGAGGTCCTGCTCTTCTTAAAGATGTTGTTTTTATGTGTATTTTTTTTTAATATCCCTCCTGGAAATGTAGAAATATCACACCACTGTATAAAAAAAGGAACGCCGTTCGTGTTTTCGTCCCAGTAGAAACGTAATAAGTTTCCTTTCCAGTTCCAAGGGTGCGAAATGGAACGGAGGCGTTCGTTCGTTCTTCCTAAAAGGAACGCGTTTCAACAACGCCGTCCCTTGTAAAGTCGTTATGTACAATAGTGTGAATTAGACGCCCAAATGTCCGGGGAACAATAGGTCAAAAGTGCTGTTTGAAACGTTACTGCATTCTTAATTCATACATCGAGAGTGACATGCACGCTGTAACTTAAAAAGACGATAAGAACAAACATGCACTCAAAACCGGGCACAAGCAACCCTAGGCAAAAGCTCTCAGACCAAATAGAAACAACAGAGTTATTTTGCTGCAAAATTTTTTATATGTTCTGGTACTCACAATGCCGCTCTGTATGTTCCTGGTATATACGTTAGCGCCACTAATAAAACATACAAGGTGCGCAAGGGGCAAACGTACGAACTCTCAGTAGCACGTTTAGCGAAAATTACAAGCACAAAACCAACGTCCGCCGACGGTGAAAGGTTGTTAGCACGGTCAAGGTGTCGCATCTGGTGCCATCGCGATGGCGTCTCAGGCGTGTTTTTCGCTCGCTGGATGAACATCTAAATCCGAACGGCCAAAGAGGTACAAAAAGCAGGGCACTGGGGTACCCCTTTGACCCCCACAATGACCTTTCCTAACGAAAGATCCCGTGGATGGGGCGGGGAGCCGACGCTGAGCGTCCGCTCGTTGCGGCCGCCCAACAAAAAAAAAATGGTCAAGCCACTTCCCCGACGCATATATCTTGATGGGTCACGCTCTGCCACAGACGTGTTAAGACGATATTAATGGGTACCCACAGCCTCTAAAAAATGTATTATGGGCCTTTTACACCCTTTACGAATTTTTAAAGGGCGCGGCAGGCCCCTTAGAAAACTTCGGAAGACATCTCAAACCTATCAACATTCATAAAGTTCACGTCAAAACATAAAACAACTGCTTTGTGGGCCCCTTAGAGGTTTTTTATACAACTCTCACCGTCTCGCATTTGGACACTAGCTGGCGAGGTTTCAGGGCAGTCTATGCCCAATCCTCTTATAGCCGTTCTTGGGGCGAAACCCCCCAGCCTTATTGAACGCCCTGTCCCAGAATGCGGCGCTTGACGCCAGGAGCGCGGTGGTCGCCCACAGGTTGTTTTTAGAGCGCAGCCCTTCGGCGCCCGTTTCCGGTTTGAGCGGTGTCACCGTCGGCATCGGCGTCGGCGTAACCGCGCACGTTTCATTATGGGACGTCACAGTTTCCCCGCTGAATTTATGGGGGAAACTGGATCGGTCTTGAGGCACCGCGGCGTCAATTTCCCCGCTAACAATTTAGCGGTAAACATAATCCGCTATATTTAGCAAAAAGCATATTCGTAAACTTGAGCAGGCAATTGAGCGAAAATTTCCATTTAATTGTAAGCCAGAAGGAGAGGAGGAGGGGAGGGCTCAGAGAAGGATGAGAGGAATCCCCTGCCCTCCGTACCCTCCCCTTCTCCTCCTCATGTGCTGTGGTCTAATTTCTCAATACACAGAACTAAAAACGTCTTTTTTTTACATATGCTGTGTTCTTAGAGGCTAATACTTCGGTTTAAGACAATAAATCTACCAGGGCTTATGATGAATACAAGACACGGATGTACGATTCCCCACACTGCATGGAGCATGTCCGTGATCCCAAAACTTAGAAGCCGTCCCTGAGCGAATACTCGAGAGAATCAAGTTCGATAATCTGGTTCCTGAACAAATAAGTATCCTTGCGGAGAGTGCAGTGCGCGTTGTGTGTCGCGTCAACACAAAATAAAGCTGTAGCTAAAGATAACTCTCCTTGAAGCTTAAGTTTTTCTTGTACAACTGCAATTCAAGTTTTTGTTTCTTTTCTGAACGGTTTTGATTTACCAGTTTTGGTGGTTACTTTTTGGGTCGATCGGTTTGTATTTATCACACTGGACCCTACTTATAATTCGACTTTAGTATATTGCTAACTACACGCATCGACTGACGTTACCTGGTTTTGGACATTTGAGATGTTAATGTTTTTTTTAAAAACTATGGCTTTCTTTTAAGCATGATCATCCGAGGCAGAAAAGTGCCAAAGCCTGCAAAGTCGCATGTTGCCAGAATGAGACAAAGTACAGAGGACCCCGCGAGTCAGTACCCGATGGCACCAATTGCACCGGCGAAAATGGAGAAAAGGTGGGAAGTAGCAGAGTTTAGATGCCCGTTCAATGCATGAGATAATCGACGATTTTTGTGTTACGAATGTTAAACGCTTGTTTAATATCCGCTTATAAAATTGTGATCCAAATATATTCGGAGAATGAAGCACTTCTGGTGCTTTTGTGATACCGTCTTCTGCTTTAATAAGAGCTGCTGACGTCCTACTCGCAGCACTGGAAAATTCACATTTTTGTTGTTGCAGTTAATTTCTCTAGTTAGCGGCATACACGGCAAGTTTGCGCCGGTTAAAAAGAAGAAACTCATTACATGCTCGCCGAGTGCGTGACACCTCCCTAACTCTACCTCACAGGAGTCAGGAGGGACTGGACGTAGAGTATAATGACAGGAGTGCATGAGACGGCTCGTGCCGTCTCGCGCTCATCACTCGGAGACCTTTTCCAAGGTTGTCTTTGCAGAAAGCACGGGGGTAGAAAAAGTGAAGTTTACTTGATGCCTTGAGGTAACTGTGGAGCCGCACAACTCGCCGACGAGACAGGTGTATAACGGGCATGCCCTGGACGCCAGATTTGAGTGCACTGTTCACATAGTATGTTTGGAAAGAGTTTACATTTATAGGCTGGGAAGTCTGCCAGTCTTGATGGTGTGGAATGCACGGTGAAAATAAACTGTGGATTCTGCCCGCCAGCACACGCTTAGGAGCCGCGGACACAGCTCCTGGCCGACAGTGAATAATCCCCATACATAGCTCTCAAATGTTACCATTGCTGGATACTGACGGTTATGTTTTACGTACAGGGTTTTTCAAACTACCACTTATGCAGTGTGAAAAAAGCAGGCCAGACCGAATGCTGGTGGCACGCAAAATAAAGACATGGCCGCAAGTGACGCCACGTGCAAGCTATGTATTACAATCTAGAGCCATTTTATATCGCAGTTTTAGCTCCCAGTGAAGCGCTATGCATATCCCCGTGCTGCCTCTCCTGTTGATTGGTCACGCGCGGTACCATAGCAACGGGCCGGTCTGGTTGGATTTCCATGACAACCGGCAGAGGCGAACAAGGCAGACGTTTAACAAAGTAGCGTTCAGATATTTTGAAGCGCTGCCGGCGTACCTATAGTCAGTAAATTTTGCTTCTCAAATAGCGCGAAGCTCAGCTATGCTGAATGAGGCACTCAAAGCTTTAGATATTGTCGTGCCGCTATACCACACCCCACTTCTGCGTGTGTTTAACTTACTTTTTATGACCTTTACCACGTTTAATGAACGAATGGAAATATAATATGAGCCATACTAATAAAGAGGCTGCAAAACGCCGCTAGCACCCCTGTTGCCATAGTAACATCCATGCCACAACTGAAGATTACTGCTGACTATTCTGACGTTGTCCATCTGGGTCTTATTGCGTGACGTTTCTACTCAGGTAACAAAACCCGCCGTATACATTGGCTCTGGTGTATTCCTGTAAAAAATAGACCGATTTTACAAGCCCTTTTGGGTACGACGTAGCTTCCGCAGCGTATCGAGGGAACTTAAGTATTTGTTCGCCAGTGGCACGTCACTTCCTCCTGCCTACCGCGAAGTAAAGTTATGGCGGAACGCATGCGCCGAACGCTTAGTCGGATCGGTTTATAAATGTATTTGGCTTCGTAACGATCTCAGCCACGTGTGCCGTATCTCATATGCGGGGCGAAAAATAATAAAACATTTCAACCTGCTATAGGCGAGAAAATAGAGGTCAGTTAAAAAAATATTGTGTTACAATCACAACATTTTTGTTAACACCTTTTAGCGGCGTGAAGAGATAAAAAGGATGTCTGAGCGCACACCATATGTGACGGCCATAGAGTTATTCTAATGTACTCTAGAGGTTCAACTGGCGCTAGTGTCTATGCGATTTCCAGGAGGAAAATTGAAGCAGACAGCAACCAGTTCACTTTTGCGGTGTTCCTGTGCATTTTTATGGGAAAACGTGCGTGAATTTTGTCTATTCGTCGGAAAATAACATGCATAACTTTTGTTATTTCGGTTGCATTGGATAGTATATTCCTTTATTAATATTGGAAAAGCGTAATTGCTTTAGTTAGAGCATTTTTTTACCACTGAACGATGTTAAACTTTGCTGTATTTGAGGCCTAAACCTCTGTGCCATGGCAGGTATGTAAACACGGGCGACGATTCTAAGCAAAATGACAATCGAAAGGAGTGTAGAGTGTGTTCAAGGTTAGCTAGCATTCCGGTGGCGCTTATATGTCGCTAAATTGCCAGTTCTGTCAATATATGAAAATTATTGGATCGTGCGCATCTTTACGATCGGTTAAAAAAACATTCGAACGCAAAAAATAAAGTACATGGGCTACAAAAGGTTTGTATTTTTAATATTTCTGATGTCGGGCAGTTTTTATCGGGCACCTGTTCTCTGGCTTCTCCCTATTCGCAAAGATTTGGAGCGTAGCGAGTGGTGATTTGAACCCAGAACAAGCATCTTTGCACATATTCTTGAACAGAAAGAATAAAGCAGTAGTTATTTATTGGAAACCGGAGTATATTACCTGACTTTAAATTTATTTTGATCCGCTGCATGCACAAGGGGTTACTTATCCAGTGTTACAGCGTAGTTCTTGCCGTCTCTCTTAGTTTTCCAGGTGCCCTTCGTTCGTTTGGCACGTATATCCCCCATGCCAGAATGCGCCGGCGCCGTGTTCGCGGTAACAGTGTCCGACCGTGCACATAAATACATGAACGAAGCAGTTTTACCACTGTTTTTCTTGCCACGAATTTAAAATAAAACAGCGTAATTGATCAATTATTTCGTCTGCGTGACTGAGAAATGTTCCACTGTGCCTAGTACGGACAAATTATTCCTGGTATTTGCTCTTATAATCGAGCGCAGAGAGAAGATGCACTTGCTTTTTCCCGTAGAAATGCGTTACCGGAAGTCAATTTTGAACTGGCTGCTGTCTGCTTCAATTTGCAGCAACACACCAGCGCCAGATAAACCTCTAGCCTGCACTTTAATAACTCTATGGTGACATCATTTAAAATGGCTGCGCCCTGGTAAAACAGGTGTATAGAACTTTCACAATCTTGCTTATGAACCAAAGAGCGCGCGCTAGTGTAATGGCCAACGTGCTGCTTACAAAGAAGCACACACGAGGAGCGTACATGCCGTACATGCTGGTCTGCAGTGCAACGAAAATCAGCGTGCACATTTGCGTTTCCCGACGACGGACTGAGGCAAGGACGGTCCACCTTATTCCCCTTTTCCAGTGTTTGATTTCGTTGTTGTTGTCCAGCTCGCTTTCACCTTTGCATTATTTGCATCATCACCAAAACCTCAAAATGCAAGTCGATCACCCCTGTTGGTGCTAGACTGGTGGCAGCTGTGAAAACCCGTTTGCCCTACTGACGTCTAACTCCTGGTTAGCTCAATTGGTAAAGCGCTTTACTGGAAATGGAGTGTTCCCTGGTTCTATACCAGGACCAGGCGGATTTGTTCAGTCGCACACCGGTCCCATAGGTGTCTTTGGAGATTTGTGTTTGTTCTTTGTCCCCCTTGTTCTCCTTCTACACGATATATTTTCGTTATGCCGGGTCTTGAACCTCCTGGAATGTCTTGTCAGCGGCTGCGGAGCAATGCAGCCGATCATCAACGAAAACACTGAAATTAGTGGATCTGCACGCGATAACACCTTGCTTCTAAACGTTTCAGCCCGTAAATTTTATATAGCCTGGTTGAACTGAAGAATTGTTTGTACTTGCAAAAACACATAAATCCTGACTGAAATGAAGTAACATTTAATGGTAATACACTCTTCCGCGTAGCGCCCGTACGCGCGCGCACACACGCGCGTACACTCACAACATGGAAAACTGCAGATGACTGCTAGAGCTTATTTCCAGTATGATCTCTTTATTTGTATATTTCAAGTTGAAGCTTGAGCTAGTTGGTACTTACTTGAGAATTAAAACACCCGAAAAGACGAGATACCGTATGTAGCGAGATAGGCGCAGCGCTGACACAAATAAATGTAATAGGTCTTAACAGAACAATGTATGATTGCGCAGTCAAAAACAAAATAGAAGAAACGGAAGATCATCCTAAAAAAGCACATAACTTTTAAATAAACGAGAAAAAAAATGAACAGCCTTACACACCGCCCTTGCACATACAAAGCCAGTCATAAAGCAAGGCAATCAATTCCTTTTCTTGACTGGACAATATGAGGACTGCTGACACACGCCGCGCTAAATCTTGGCATCTCTAAGGCCCCAATATTTTAATGTGTCAACTGGTCCCGGTGATGTTTTATAAGCTGACACGTAAAATTCCTCAGGTCTAAGATATAGGAAGATTAGGCGCTCTGTGCGTCAGCAGTAATTCGATTGCCTTGTCAAGGCAAGCAAGGCCTTTCCAACTGTATACTTTGACGGTCGTTTTTAGTGATAAACGCTTGTCTACTGCTATATTGTTTAGTTGTCTATCGGAATGCCGATTTGCGTGAGTCATAACAGAGGCATGCGCAGCTAAGAATTAAAACGAGGCTGTTTAAAAGGCATTGCGTATTTTACTGCTCAAAAGTAACGAAATAACAGTTACTCTGTACTTGATCTTAAAAGTAACTAAGTACGTTACTCGTTCGTTCTTAAGGTAACTCAATGCCTTACTCGTTACCAAAAAAGTAACTAGCTAGAAGTAACTCCTTACTAGTAACGCCTTCCGTGCATGTTTGATTGTGCCTCATTGTAAGGTCTTTCTGAAAAAAATAGCCTTCTTAATTCTATATTTTTTTCAGGTGTGTCTCTCTGCAATATGCGTTACGCTATAATCGACCTGCGTGAAATGAAAACAAAAGGTTGAATTCATCACGAATAATAAAGTTGTCAATGTTTTTTTTTTTATTTCAATTTTCTTTGTTTTTCTTTTTCACATATAAATAAATGTATTCCTTATGTACTAAGAGATGACTGTTTCTTTTCAACTTTCAGCTAATTGGGTAAAAATGTTTAAGATGTTTATAATGTACACAAAATTAAGATACGTACTAGAGCTAAAGCTCCGTGAAATATAAATGTTCATGACAAGAAAGAAGTAAAAAATAAGACAGACCTCTTCCCCTCTGGAAGAAACACGTTTAAACTTTATTTTCTGCCTTTTCGCATTCGCCGGCATTATCGTCGTCTCACGAGAGTAGGCGGCATTTCCACACTTGGGTTTATCGCAAGTCATAGAGCAGTCGGAGGCTCAAAGACACGCACACGCATTCACACTGAGTAAAATTGCATTGCCAAGGTGCAGTTCCTGTACTAATTTGAGACGCAATATCTAAAGCGTAAAAATATCCATCGAGCCAAAACATACGTTCCTGGATGTCATCTCTCGATGGATTTATTGACTCGTTAGAAATTGTGACTCGGATGGCTTTTCTGACTCTATGGATGTAGTAACTCTATGCATGTTTATAATTGGATGGATGTTTGGACTCGATGGACGTTGTGACTCGATGGATGTTTTAACTCGGATTGGTGTTTTTGAAACGGCAGGTCTTTTGACTCTGCCCTCAAGTGACGTACATAAAGTATCGATTCGTTGAATATTTTATATTTTAACGTAGAAACCTGGCCATTTTGTTTAACGAGTTCTTAAAGCGTGGTAGGCAAGGACTCACTACATAAGTTCAAATCAAATTAATTCAAATTTGGGGGGTTTTACGTGCCAAACCTACGACGGGCATCTGGCACGCCCCAGCAGAGGACTGAGGATTAATTTCGACCACCTGGGGATCTTTTGACGTGCAACCGAAAGCTCGGTTACACGGCGCCTTCTCCACAATAAGCCTCGGTCATATTGCGGGCACCTCGGTCGGGATTCGAACCAGCCACCTGGGGATCCGTAGGCCGGCGCTCTCGCCTCGGAGCCACCGAGGCGTCTCTACATAAGTTCCCTGATGTACCTAAATCAAATATGAAGAAATAAACATACATAATTTTATGAAAGCTTGTAGTGTATGAAAGAATATGAGTTATGTTCAGTCTTGGGTAGTAACGCGTTACTAGTAACGCGTTACTGTAACTTCGTTACTTTTTTGGTAACTTGTAACTGTAACGAGTTACTTTTTAAAACTGTAACTTGTAACTGTAGTTCTATTACTTTTTTTGAGGTAACGATGAAAGTAACGGCGTTACTTTCGTCGTTACTTTCCAGTTTTTTTATGAATAATATATAATTGAACGAGTACAATCAAGCTATTCCTTGCACTTTCCATATTGTCTGTTCCGACATTTCGAGTGTCATGTTGGCCTTGCACAAACTTGTGAATACGCTCTTTCTCGCGAGTCATGACCCGAATATAGCCACGTGTAGATTTGATGAAAAATATATAATTATCTTTACGCACGCGCTTGTACTTTATGACTGAACACTTACATCTAAGTAACTTGAAGCACTATCTATGTTGCGGTTTCTCTTTTTTCTGCACAAATACTTTTTAATCCGGTGAATCAACCGTAAAACAACAATTCACGCGGAGGGCGCCGCCCATGTTTCGTATTTTGATTAGCGACACTACTCCGCACTGCGCATGTTTCGTATCTTGATTTGCGCCACTACTCCGGCGTAAGGTCAACAGTCAAGATTTTCTGCTCTTTGCGCGGGGTTTATTTCTAAGTTGCCGGGTGCGAGCAGAAATATGTCCAGGAACTTTATAAACCCAGCGAAACCGTCAACGAGCCAGGAATGTGCTAGCGCTGCCAAGGATAGGGATGTTGATGACAACAAAGAAGAACTACCATGGCCGGCGTACAGGGAATATTTTGCTGTGGTGAATGTGGTCGCTAACAATTTGACCGCAGCATGCAAACTTTGCAAGAAGGAGTACTTTACCAACAAGTCGTCGTGTTCTTCTTATATTTCGTACCGTTCGTAACCCTCTCTATTTTTAGGTTCGCTGAAGACCTCAACTGTGACGAACTTCTTCTGGCTGCCGTAGTACATGCCAAATTCAGGTTGTCATGGATAGATGACAACGGACATCGTGATTTCGCAGTCCGGATGTTAGGTGACTAGGTGTAAAAGAGATGGCGCTGCTGCCAGCGCAGACGAAACATTGACAAAAAAGTCAACCAACGATAATAACGACGATTCTTTTTTTTTTCCACCACGCCCCAGCGTTATGTCTGCCAGTGAGGCGCAACGGTGGGGAAATGAAACTTCGTAAGATACGGCACCCTGTTGCCTCAACGCCTACCCGGCAATCAAAAACCTGTTCCTGCGGCACAACACAGCAATTCCATTCAGCGCGCCAGTTGAACGCCTGTTCAGCAAGGGCAGGGACGTATTCGCCATCAAACGAGGGAAACTTTCTGACTCAAATATCGAAAAGCAACTGCTCCTAAGTTATAATATGAAGTAAAAAGTGTACTTTTTTAATTTTATGCAATAAAACTTGGTGAGGGCCTTTTTCAACTTTTTCCTAAGTTTCTTGTGTAATAGAAAAGTAACTGAAAAGTAGCGTCGTTACTTTTTAAAAGTAACTGTAACTGTAACGAGTTACTTTTTTGTTACAGTAACTGTAACGATAACTTAACTACTTTTTTTCTGAAAGTAACTGTAACTGTAACGAATTACTTTTTAAAAGTAACTTACCCAAGACTGGTTATGTTGTATATGATTGTACAGTGCCCTGCACACCCGTGAGTGACACTTCCAACTCTCTCGCTATTGTATCTTATTGGGGCGTATAGAAACTCCTTACTACAATGTGGTCTTGGTGCCGTGCTCCAAGACCACATTGTAGTAAGGAAGCACACCACTGTTGGACCCCCGTTGGCGCAATGTTGGCAAAAAATGGTTCCCATATTGGTCATTTTTGAAAAAGCCACCCGATTCAATGGTGGTCCATCATTGGTGCCAATGTTTCACCACTGGTTTGCCAAAGTTCTAGTCCGCGTTGGATCAACCTGGTTTGCGTTTTTTTATCCAATATGGGCACAGAGGTTTCACCGCTGGCTGAACTAACATTGGCATCTAGCGCCCTACACAGTGGCTCTTCTAACATTGGCTTAAGTATTGGCCATTCCAATATTAGTATCCAGTGTAATACACTAGCTATTTTTCCATCCATTGGCTATGCCATTATTGGATGTCATTTTTCAGCTAAGGTTCTAACCAGCGTCACCAAAACAGTGCCGAGAACCAAGCAAGTCCCTCGCCCTTTTTCCCCTAGCGCTGTTTTATTTCTGATACCACCAATCTAATAAATGCAGCAATTTTACCATATTTTGACACTTTAGAAATCAGTAAAGCAAGCAAATTAATTGTTCATAACGTTTGACCGTTCATAATATATTTAAATCGAATAAAAAGATAACAAAAATTGTGCAAACAGGGGGCCTAGGCAGACTCGGCGGCAGGGTCGGCGGCAGGGTCGGCGGCAGGCTCGGCAGTGGACTGTGCAGAAGGCTGGGCGAAGGGCTAAGCAAAAGGCTGGGCGGAGAGCTGGGCGAAGGGCTTGGACCTCTCCCCTCTCTACGTACGCTAAGATCGCACTATCTCAATATATGACAGTCTTAATTTTGAATCCGACTTGGCCGGTGACTGCCGCCATTTTGCGCATAAACACGGAGAGGCGGAGCAAATATTACTCCTCGTTAATACATTATTTGAATCGTCTCTTGGAATAGCCTCCATCTCTTAATTCAACACCCGGAACAAAGCAAATGTGGATAAATAGGCTAATTAACTAAAATGTAATACTTACTTTTTTTAAATTTTAATGTATCATGTTGAAAATTCAGTGTTGAAATGCAGAACACTGGTGCTGAGCATTGCAATGAAGCTATTGCTTGATTGTAGTGTTCAGTGCCAGTGTAATCTATATTCAGTGTTGGGGTTAATAATTAATTTTAATTGTTGCACAAGTGTTTCATGGATTTTTCAAACAAACAATATTAGTGGTTCTCAAGACACGTTACAACAGCAGAGTACATATCATGGGTCATGCTTTGTCGCCGGTATTACACAAATTATTTTAGTGCTCTTTTTCCATTTGAATCAAATTTTTTTTCAAACCTACTAGCCAGGTGGGAAGTGAATATGTGGAGCACTAACGGAAATTCGCTGGTAAGCCATTGGCTAACACAGGCCAATGTTGGCCAGCCTAATCCAATCGATTGCGAATGTTCGTCAGCCATTGGCTAAGACAGGCCAATGTTGGCCAGCCTAAGCCAATCGATTACCAATGTTGTTAACCTGTTGGCAAAGGCAACACCAATGTTGGCCAGCCTAATCCAATCTATTACCAATTATGGTAACCCATTGGCTAGCACATATCAATGTTGGCCAGCCTAAGCCAATCGATTGCCATCTTTGGTAAGCCATTGCCTAATACAGTTTAACGTTGGCCAGCCCAAGCCACTCGATTGCCAATGTTTTTAACCTACTGGCTAAGACAGGCCAATGTTGGTCAGCCTAAGCCAGTCGATTACCAATGTTGTTAACCTATTGGCTAAGACAGGCCACTGTTGGCCAGCATGAGCCAATCGATTACCAACGTTAAAAACCAATTGGCTAAGAACATTCCAATGTTGGCCAACCCAAGACAGACGGTTGCCAACGTTGGTAGGCCATTGGCTATGACATTGCAATGTTGGCCAACCTAAGCCAATCGATCGCTAACGTTCGTCAGCCATTGGCTAAGACAGGTCAATATTGGCCAGCCTAATTAAATCGATTACCAACGTTGGTAATCATTGGCTCAACATGACCCATTGTTTCCAAATTGAGTACCAATATTGGCCCAACGCTTTGTGCTCCCCGTGTGAATTTAGG